GCAGATACACCAATATGTGGATATGAAAAATATATATTACTATGCAGAAACCGAAAAAAACTAAAAAAGAATGTTTGTGCTTCAACACAAATAAAAATAAGTGAATAAACATAATACCATTTTTCATATATTATACTCCCCAAATGATTGTGACTTCAAAATCTGTCCATTATATTTTTCGCGTACACGTATATATTTTTATACATTTATATAAAATTTGTGAATTCATGGCTGTCATATATTATATATATGTATAAATGTCTGTGAATACTTCATTACAATTTATTTATTTTTAACATTTCTATTAATATTTTTATCCCACGCACAGGTTCATCCTTCTGTGGGATTTCTATATTTATTTATCAAAATTTATCAAAATGTATAAGTATTTTAATGTAATTATTGTGATTTATGGTAAATAAATATTATTATTATTATATTATTATTATTATGTTTAATATCAGAAAATGCCTGTTAGTAAAATGATTGACGCTGAAAATAATATCTAGTTCAGATGAACGAGAAATTATACATAAGTGATAACCTGACAACTGAAATCACCAGCTGATCAACTGCTGCTGATTACTGATGAAAACCATGAAAACGTGTTCCGAATTACAGCACTGTATTTTTGATTTTTTATTTCGGACCACAGATTTTCAGCAGTCAGTGGATGTACTGGCTGTACTGACCAGTTGAATTCGGAATATAGCCTGAAACATCAATGTCAATAATGTTATTCGTGGTCAAGTCACTGAATAGCAAAAAATCTGAAGCATATCTCCCACGCAGTGACCAATTTTGCTATTTAGTAGTGCCACCTGATGTTTTGGTTAGATATTTGTTAGTTTCTTTTCATTATCTAAATAATCCGAGACTTATCAATCCCAAAACACGTATTCTAATAATCAATATCTAAGGTACCGACGTGATACGTATAGAGTTTCATGTCTGATTGTTGGATATTTTGTGTCGATCAATCATGTCTGCCAAAATAATTTTTTTTACCCTTAGGCGACAAGCGTTGCCAAGCATTCGTTTCACGTTTCCCGGACGTCAACGAATCAGTGAGTGTGGCATCACCCACTAGGCGAATGGCTCTTCTCTTGATGGAATCAAAGAGCATCAGCGTATCCTTCATAGACATCATTTGTCCCCTGACTCCAGGGTATACCCACTAAAAACTCCACCCCGTTTGTAGGCTCGTCTGAATAATGTCTCCGACGACACTAAGGGCTAGTGGGCCCATTGGATCTTGCCTACATGCTGGTGCTCATTAAGGGCCACTTCAATATGAAAGACCCTTTTCGTTCAGGTTCCTGAAGACCACCCTTCCGATCCCTGTTCGGGACGGGGGAAGGGGTTGGTCCAGCCCTGTGGTGCCCTCTGCACAGGGCAAAGGCTGTTCACTCGGAGATGTCGCCCTGTAGCCCAGAGGCCCCGTTATCGACACCATATCTCGGTGCCATTCATCCATCGCGACGGGTTCCCACAGCTTGGATAAGGTTGTCAGACCCTCGTTGACCAGTCCTTGGCCACCTAGAAAGATATCAACGAATCGTCCCATCCTTGCCACAGATGTCCTCAAATAATTGTCCCATCTGGCCCGGAGATAGCAAAGATGGTCCCAAAATGCTTCTGTCGAGCGACAACGGTCTGTCCTCCCCATACCACTTGATGGTGAGGTAGGGCTTGGAGGAGAAGAGGAAAAGAGAAGTTTGCCAAGGAAGGCCGAAAGGATAGATTGGAAAAGGAAGAGAGAAGAGGATATCACCCAAGACAAGTTGAAGTTTGGTGCATATCCGGCTAGGGTACCTCGGGTTCACCATTCCCGTACTCACAAGTTGTGAGCCCCTGAGCTGCTTTCGCTATCGATCTGACATGATTTTTCCATGAAAGAGTATCGCTGATGGATATACGGAGCATCGATATAGTGGTCTTGGTGGAAATTATGGTAGAGTCCGACCACGTTAACTTTGGGACAGCATGTGACGCAACGCATATGCATATTCAATGCATACGCGACCACGTGCTGTCCCAAAGTTATCGTGGTCGGACTCTACCCCAAGTAACATTTTAACTCTTCCAGGTACAGGAATTTCGAACACCCCCTAGATGTACAGCTCAATTTTTCTTCAGATTTTCAAGAGATTCATTAACAAAATAACTCCAAATGTCTCAAAAGATACGAACAAATATGAAATAATTTCAGAATTCTCCAATTTTTACGAAAAAACGGTGGGTCAAAATCTAACCCACCATTCCATAAGGTGAAAGATTTCATGAGAATCGACTCATTTCAAATCACGTCTGCAATCATGTTTTGTTCTTTCCAAGACAGAGTGGAACACACAACCAGTTTGTTCCATCTTCAAACTTTCCTCAATTAAAAAGAGCGTGTTTTTCTCTATTTGACTCGTCCATTCGATTGGTGTTCTCGATGAAGATACTGATATTTATTGACGACTAAATGATCATATCTTTCATTATTAACTTTGAAAGATATAGAGTATTCTCTGAAGAATAAATGAGTTGACTACAGCGGCATCCAAGGAAAAGATTTCATGAATATCTGTTCCTTTATTTGTCTTTCCAGTCGTCTGATAATTCTGCTCAGTATATAGATTGATCTGGAAAACTAAACTGGGCGTCAATTGAAACGTTAATGGTGAAATTTGGCATCAAGTTTGACTTCTCGTAATTTCTAAAATATTGAACGAATTTTGAATTGCCGCCCAGATTCTGAATGCCTTTTTCATCGTCTTTCGAATCATTCCTTGCAGCTTCTTCTAAATTGATCAGGACCCGTGATACAGGGTGAAACAGAGTTTCGTGCATTTTGAAAAAAATTTCTCCGCCCCCCCCATTTTGTCGGAAGACCACGATGCTCATATTTTATTCAGGCATTTCATAAATAGCAACCATACCTCGGGACGTTTTCGAGTTTTTGCCAAAAACTACTGTGGTTTCCGGAAAAAAAAAATTGGTATTTTTTTTAAATGGACTAATTTTAGAGGAGTTCCATAAATGGATGCTTTTATGCATTTCAGGAAAGCGTTGGAGCAGATATGTATACCAGGTTACTCAAAAACAATCAATAATTTATTACTTCGCAGTCTATGATAACAGTTTTCTACCTTGGTGAGCAGTAAATCAACACATCTCATCAACAGAAACAAACAACAATACCTTGTTTCTATAACAACGTATTGTTGAAACAATGTAGGTATGCATAGAGGTTATATCAATTGCCAATTTTCATGAAAACGTCAGTGTAATTCGGGTCCTAAAAAATTTAAAGATGCCTCGTTCAAATAAATGGAAAATATCATTTGATAAGATCACTATAGTGATATAAACTATAATTCAGTACAGATAAACATTATTTCAGGTTACGACGATTAGGATATACCCAAACTCATTCAAGTACCATTTGCAATAAGTCAGTCATGACAATAAATAGACTGATTCATCCATTGAAAAAAATGCAAAAAAACATTTTTTTTTTCGGAAACCACAGTAGTTTTTGGCAAAAACTCGAAAATGTCCCGAGGTATGGTTGCTATTCATGAAATGCCTGAATAAAATATGAGCATCGTGGTCTTCCGAGCTGTAAGGAACGGTCCGAAAGACGATGAAAAAGGCATTCAGAATCTGGGCAGCAATTCAAAATTCGTTCAATATTTTAGAAATTACGAGAAGTCAAACTTGAAGCCAAATTTCACTATTAACGTTTCAATTGACGCCCAGTTTATGTGATTCAATAATTTGTCGGTGATGAACTGACGAGAGAGAATATCCATCTTGAGCCACTCCAGAGGATCTATTGAAATCTTTTGGCTGAACGATCTCATCCACTCCACACCATTTTTTTTATCTATCTCTGGTTTCAACTCCGCGATCGGGGTATCAAATCTTATGGGTCCCATGTACCCATATCAGACAGTATGATGTTGTTAAAATTGAATTCGACATCATTTTCCTCATCATTATCCTTGAAAAATGTCTTGGTCATGTTGTATGGTAGGACAAAATTCAAACAGCGTAGAATTTCACATTTTGTGAACGAAAAATAAACATATAAGTTGGAAAAATATAACAAGTAGGTTACCTATGTTGCCTAGATAGTATTTAATGCAACAAAAAATGTAAAAACATGATAAGCATGAAATTTGCAGCCGCAATTCGCAATTCTATTCACTAATAATGTATTGTTTTATTCACTTCAGCTTAGAACATATGATTCAAAAGACCATAATGAGTGAGTAATATGGGGCGGGAGAGAAAATAAACCGTCGTACCACAAATCATAAGCCCATTGCAGAGCGGGATATATTTTGTCCCAGCATACCTCTAACTCCAAGAAATTCGTGGTTCAAATTCTGCACCAAAGTACTTGAAAGAGTTAAATGCCTAATAGCTTCGATGAGACTTTAAAGAAGTTATGTGAGCACAAATGATAGGTCTGATTTGTTCTACGGTTTTATGAATGCCCTGGGAAAATCAAATTGGTCTTCATGTCCATATAATCCTATTAAAAGGTTTTGAGATACTATGATAGAACTATCGCATAAAACAATTTGGCATTCAGCTCACTTCGGTAGTTTTGAGAAGGCATTTTGAAATAGGCTGTAACAACCTCCTGTAGCTAACAATAAAACTGATAATGTTATTTGGGACCAGACATTGTTATATCAGGCATACTGACTTCCGCCTTTATAGAGAAAATAGAGGCTTGAGTTTTGGTGGCGTTGAATTCAACTAGGTTGTTGTTTCCCCAGGCTGTAATTTCAGTAAGATCTTCATTGACAGCGTTAACCTGCGTTAACCTCTCTTCGTCGTGAGTTCTTAGTTTCCTGGGGAGAAATGGGAATCCTGGAAGAGATCGCAGTATGGGGGGTACTAGCATCTGCAAAACTGTGGATGGGCCAACTGGAGAGATCGTTCCCAACTTCGCAGTAGCGATATACAAATTTAACAAATTCACAAATTCATTGCAGAGAGGAGTCCACCTCTTCACCTATGGCCACCAGAACTCCTCGAGGCTGTGGTTTCCGTGCGTGGACAGCTTCGCGGAGACGTGCACCTGGAAGTTGGAGTTCACCGTGGAAGACGAACTCACCGCCATCTCGAACGGCGACCTCAACGAGGTCGTGTATACTCCGGACATGCGCAGAAAGACCTTCCACTATTCCCTTAACGTGCCCACCTGCGCGCCGAACATCTCGCTCGCGGTGGGGCCCTTCGAGATCTTCGTGGATCCCTACATGCACGAAGTGACGCACTTCTGCCTGCCGAGTTTGCTCCCGCTGCTTAAGGTCACTACAAGGTACATTTCGAGAAGTAATCATTTTTTTTTAGTTCAATGTTGATGTCAAAATTTTTGATAAATGATCCTCTATCTATAGCAAAGTATAACATGAAGATATAGTCATGTTGTAGCTATCTATACCTTTTCAACTTCAATTTCGGAAAAAGTAATCTCGATTTCAGAATTGGTTGGTTCGATTTCAGAAATGGTACACTCAATTTCAGAATCGGTGAGATGAATTTCAGAAAAAGTCCATTCAATTTCAGAAATGGTAAGTTGTATTTCAGAATTGGTAGGTTCAATTTCAGAAAAAAAATCCTTATATTTGTTCGAAATGTTTCCAATTGTATGTGAGATTAACAAACCATATTTACAATATTCAACTTGTCAAAAACAATTCAATAACATAATTGTAATCTCAATTTAATCCACAGATGCCTTCCATCCGAATCGCTGGAAGATAATAGCGTTGCACATGATTATGAGAATGCAAACACATTTGAGGTGTTATCATTTTCATTGAATGATCTGCACATTCCTCAAGACATCATCGCAGTCTGAATTCTATCTGGTTGAGCAAGCTGTTCGGATCCCCAGCTATGACCCTTTGGCGATGCTCTTGCAAGAAGCTCTTCACTTCTGACTTGAAGGCACCCCATATATGTTCAATCTGATTCAACATAGGGCTCTCAAACACCGTTCATCCACTGTAAACAATCTTCTCTTTTGCAATTAAAAACATTTCAAACATAAAAGGATTTCATCTTCTGAAATTGAACCTACCAATAATAATTCTGAAATACAACTTACCATTTCTGAAATTGAATGGACTTTTTCTGAAATTCATCTCACCGATTCTGAAATTGAGTTTACCATTTCTGAAATCGAACTAACCAATTCTGAAATCGAGATTACTTTTTCCGAAATATAACTCACCGATTCCGAAATTGAAGTTGAAAAGGTATAGTGGCAAAGCTCTAAGGTAGGATCCAGAAATCGCGACACACACTGTGTGATGCTGCCATCTATAGTACACGTACAGACCCTTACATCTATACTCTACAGAGTGGTACTACAAGTACAGACCGAGAGCGGCTGATGAGACCTGGTGGGTCGAAACAGTACTGTCTCGTTCCTGCTGACAAGTGGGGCAACTCTATTCATCCTGGATCTCTTAGTTATGACATCTAGCAGTTGAATAGGTGGTGGAAATAGCCACTCAAGTATGTCAGGTAGTGCCATCTGTAAGCAGAGTGGTTTACTCGTAGTACCACTCTGTAGCGTATAGACGTATGGGTCTGTACGTGTGACTATAGATAGAAGCGCCACACAGTGTGTGTCGCGATTTCTGGATCCTACCTTAGAGCTTTGCCACTAGATGGCTACAACATGACTATATCTTCATGTTATACCCTGCGTCTTCGAAATGAGTGATATACCCGAAGCGTAGAGTTGTCCCAGTTGTCAGCAAACCGAGAGCGGAGGATGAGACCTGATGGGTCGAAACAGTACTGTCTCGCTCCTGTTGACAATTGGCGCAACTCTGTTCATCCTGGATCTCTTAGTTATGAGATCTAGCAGTTGAGAGATTATGAAAACATTCTTAAGGAACACTTTTTCTGGTGGTATAATGAATTCATCTTCCTTGTTTTGCTTTGTAGGATATCTGATTGTTATTTTTTACGTCAATTTGAAGCGCTGCTGTTTTTTTATGTTCTGGTTCCTACGCAAAGGGATATCCTGTAATGTTCAGAGAACATCGTGAGAACAAAGGGAAATAAGGTAGGAATTGGTGTTCTTCTTAAATTTCTGGAGATTATGTGCCTCAGGGAACATCTAGAATGCAAATTAAAATTAAATTCGCCAAAATCACAAAGTGTCCCGGCTCTAGTGTCGAACTTCAGAACCTTTCTGAGGGTAGTGTGTAAAGAAGTCGATTTTTCACACCATATTGAAAGATGATGAACACATTCTTAAGGAGCACTTGTGGGTTCTTTGTTGGTATATAGAATTCTTCCTCCTTGTTTTGCTGTTTCTTGACTAATTGTGAACTTGTGTGCCATTTCATAGGATATTTTCATACCGCGTGTATCTCTCATTAAGATTCATCCATTCACATAATTTTGAAGCGCTGATGAAGCTCTAGAATGCAAATTCCAAAGTATCTGGCCCCATGTTTCAAACTTTAGAACCTGTCCGTTGCCATGGGCGTGCGCTATGGATTTAATCAAGTTTTTTTAAATATCTATGAATTTTTCGATCTGTCTAGAAATAATTCAATTTATATAAATAGGTACCCATTCTCCTTCGATTTTACTATTTCATTGATACTGGATTTGTTATCTTGTGGTAATTCGAAATCGCAAATAGCAAATACATACGAATTATTATGCATTGTCAATCCGATCAAATGATCTGCGATTGTGTCATTTCTGACTGATTCAAATTCAAAAGTTGATGTTGCTTCTGCTTTGACATCGACAACAGGAGTATAATTTTTTGCCGTTTTGTTATTCACATCTTCCCTGCAATTTATATTTTGTGAGAAATTAAGTCTCTTGAATTAATTTTCATTTATTTCTAACTTAATATGCGACGGAAGATATTCTGTAGGAATAGCTTCTTGTTTCAAATATTTGTATATTTGTGTTTTTTTGGAGGTGTGAAATTCAACAACTACTGTACTTTCAAACTTGTTCGAAAGAGTTTTGCATGGAAATAGTGTGAACAAATACGTGCAGGATATAAAGAATATAAGGTAGCATAATTGAGGTTGATTCATTTTCGGTCGACAGCAATCTTCCACTCATCTTTTCATTAGGTCTCCATCATTGGAAGAACATAAATATTCAATATCTGTGCCATTCGTATATTTATTGGACTTTTCATAACCAGAAACGACACAAGCGGGCATTTTGAAAGCATTTCATTTGATTTTTGAATTTATATGTATTTGAATTGGGACATCGATCACGAAAACATGTAATAAAAATGACAGTTAAATCCCAGTTGACGTCATGCGCAGTTTAAACTTTCTGTCGAGCACACCATCTTCTCCTTCCACTATGGTCGAAACGAATGCACCATCCATGCTGCTGTGTAAGCGTAGAAATGAAATGACATTCCTCCTATTTCGATCTACTTCAGGTACATGCACGAAGCCTTCGAGTTTTACGAAGAAACCCTCTCGAACAGATACCCGTACTCGTGCTACAAACAAGTATTCGTCGACGAAACTCACGAAGACTACCGCTCCTACGCCACCATGAGCATCCTGAGCGTCAACCTCCTCCACTCGGCCGTCATCATCGATCAGGTAAGATTCCTGTCGTTGAATCAAACTACATCCAAATTGAATATTATTTTGATACGGAATTCTGAAATTCATATTCATGAAACCAGACAAAACAACTTGTTTCACATTGACGCTGCTAGCTCCATACTCGGACAAAATAGATTCGCTCACGCGGCCTTAATCAAATACACTATCTGACCATATCAGAAGCTGCAGAAATATAGGTACATTCAAAAATAAAATAATGGAAAAACTGATTGTTTCTGAACGAATTGGATAAAATTGTTAGTAATGTTGTTTTAATATGCTTCCTCTACAAATAATTTTCTTTGTTTGCCAATTTATTGTTGTTCATGTATTCTGAATTATGAAATGTTTACCTATAGGTATATAATAAAGTACTTCCTCATACCAGATCCCATTCTGCCTGGAAGTTATTTTTTTGATGAATACATACATAATAGTAGATTGTAGACGCTCCTCCTCGCAAATGCAAAATTCGCTTGTCAAACAAAATGTCACTTTTGATTCGAATGAAACATGCTATTTTTTCTGCAACCAAAAGATTTAACTTAAATAAATATGTGGAGTAACCACCGATGCCGTACCATATGTATGCAATGCAACGAATAATCCGTGTGGTGAGAATCTTCTACCTGCATTAGCAGATCAGGTTTATTCAATTTTCAAGGATGTTCGAATTATAGTTTCAATATTAATACAACCACAGAGTGACATATTTGTGTATGGACCTGGTGCTCTAATGGCAAATACCGCGCCAGTGCCAGGTATAGGAACAATACGTGGAAAATGTTAGGTTAGTGAGCATATTAACAATAAAGAAGTTATTATTCTATTTATTTCTCCTCATACTCCACTGTGTTTGGCTCGGTAATCGAATGAAGCTGAACAATATCGTTGTGTGAGACAAAAAACTATTGCTGTCCGTGATTATTCAAAAACAAGTCATCCATCCCGAGAATTACGAATGAAATACAGATCAAGCAAGTATGTGAATTTTGAAGGCATTCCTGATCAAAACAAAAATACTCAACTATAATATGGTGTATTTATATCTCCACAATGGGTATGAAATGCCAAATCTTACGAAATCGGAAACAAATCAGGTATGCGTCCCAACCCGAAAAACCAACCATAACAATATTGAAAAGAAATATTCTCTGATATGATGAATATCAATTTATCATACATTCTGAAACATAACAATATTGTTTATTCTTGATGACCTCTAGTAAATCCTTTTTAGTTCTTAGGAGCTAAAGTTCAAGTTTAGCTCCTAGGAACTAGAAGTATTGCATAGAAACATACAGTAATAGCAACGTCAATTCAAGAGCTGATTTTGGTATAAAATGGACGACTTTTGTATCGGTTCGCAGAATAGTAGATTGTTTTATTAGAATCAAAAGTGGCACTTTGTTTGACAAGCGAATTTTGCACTTGCGAGGCGGGGCGTTTAGCGAAGCCGAGCGAAAGCAAAATTTCCGAGTCAAACAAATCCACTTTTGATCCGAATGAAACATGCTATTTTTTCTGCAACCGAAACAATTAACTCAAATTAATATGTGAAGTAACCACCAATGCCGTGCCATATGTATGCAATGCAACAAATCAAAATCAATGCAAAATACGTGTGGTGAGAATATTCTACATGCATTAACAGCAGGTTTATTCAATTTTCAAGGATGTTCGAATTATAGTTTCAATACAGATACAACCACATAGTGACATATTTGTCTATGGACCAGGTGCTCTAATGGCAAATACCGGGCCAGTGCCAGGTATAGGAACTAGACGTGAAAATGTTAGGTTAGTGAGCATATCAACAATAATAATAGCGATTATTTATTCCTCTCCATACTACACTGTGTTTGACTTGACAATCAAATAGAGGTAAACAATATCGTTGTTTGAGACAAAAAACTATTGCTTGCCGTGATTATTCGAAAACAAGTTATCGATCTCGAGAATAACGAATGAAATACAGATCAAGCAAGTATGTGAATCTTGAAGGCTTCCCTGATCAGAACAACAATACTTAACTGAGATGTTTATAATTCCTATACTTAACTATAATAAAGTGTATTTATATCTCCAGCATGGGTATGAAATGCCAAATTTGTCGAAATCGGAAAAAAATCAGGTATGCGTCCCAACCCAAATTACCAACCATAACAATGTTGTTTATTCTTGATCTCTAGTACATCCTTTTTAGTTTCTAGGATGTAAAGTTCAACTTAAGCTCCTAGGAACTAAATGTGTTGCCTAGCAACATACCTATTTTTGTGTCAGTAATAGAAACGTCAATTCAAGAGCTAATTTTGGTATTAAAATGGACGACTTTTGTGTCGGTCGCAGGAAAAAATAAATAAATACACAGTGTCACTTGTGCTTGCTCTGTGCTAATGCTCCTTGTAAATAGGCGAGTGGAAAACGCTATAAATTTGAATGCTTTTGCATATCACGAAATCCTGGGGTAACCTGTCTAATTTACTGATCTCGGATCAGGTGTACATCACGCGGAAGGCCATGGCTCAGGCGATCGCCGAACAGTTTTTCGGCTGCTTCATCTCGATGCAGAACTGGTCGGACGTGTGGTTGAACAAGGGGATCAGCCAGTACTTGTGCGGATTGTACTGCAAGAAGTCGTTCGGTAATAACGAGTACAGGGAGTTGATCCAGAGTACGCTGCAGGACGTCGTCAAGTATGAGGAGGAGTTTGGAGGAATTGTGCTAGGTGAGTCTCCAAGATTTCAAAACGTATTTTTTTAATCATATTGATCAAACACAAACATTAACTCAAACAGCCTTTTGTATTTATAATAATTTCGAATGATGCCAGGAGAGCTACAGAAAATACATATATTAAGATTGATATCCACAGAATCTTCAAAAATACTTCCAGATTTCCAATCATCAATCTAGGATGTAATGAAATGAACAGAATATTTTTCTGAACACTGTTATAAAATTGTTCTTATCCATCAATCGGTTGCCCCCTTACGAGCAACCCTGAGAAGTCTTCAAGGTACTCGTGCGAGCAAGGAATGACGGGGGTATTACCTTTTAACGTGTGATCCCCAACAATTTCTTAAGTCATCAGAAATATGTCTGCGGTCGTGGTGGGAGGGAATCGAACCCACCTACCTGCAATCCAACGTGGATAGAACATTGACGCTTTAACGACGAGGCTACGCTGGCCTATATTAGTCTCAATCTCCAAATTAAAAATGGAGTATTGTAAAGAACTACACAAATAAAGTATCTTGGTATGTGGATTGATGAAAAATTGAAATGGGACAAGCACATAGAGGTTCTGAAACAAAAAATATCTCTAATCATTGGAGCTTTGCGAAGATGTCCTAAACTTGATGAAAAATCATAAACATAGTACTTCATTCTCATATACTCAGTCGTATTACCTATATGATAAACGTTGCGGGGGGGGGACCTTGTTCAAAAAATTATTCCAGTAAAATATCTGCACTTGATAAGAAATCTCTGGAAGTATTGTATCGCCTCTCATTTGATATCCCAACAAATGATCTGTATGCGTATGTATGCGATCTGTATCTTAAAGTTTCATTCAATATCATAAACAACAATTTGAAATTCAATTTTGTTTTGATAGGAAATTCAAAAATTCATGGTAATCACACGAGACAATTAAACTCATTTCATCTCGATTTTGACACTTCTATAATTGGCCCAAAAAATTTACTCACGCTGCTCTAGCTGAATTCAACAAATTATCACGTAATATAAGAAATTGCAGACATATTCCAAAATTTAAAATTGCATAAAAAACATAATTTTAATACAAAATGGATAAAATTGATACTTTGCAATCCACTGATTAGTCACTGTTGCTATTTTTAAGATTTGATCGATTTAGCATTTAGATTTTTCAGATTTTTTGTTGTTGTCACCTTATGTTATTTTATTATTGTTGTTTGTATTCTCCTTCCTCATACCAGAATTTCATTTCTGACTGGAAGCTATTTTCCCAATAAACAAAATATAATCATCAACAATTTTTATATATGAGACCTGAGACAGAATAATAATAGACACCATGATTCATTCATTATGTTGAAGGTATACGCCAACAGTCCTAAACGCCAAAGAAGAATGAACGAAATTGTGAATGGTGGGGTACTCTGCGGAATAATTGCCAGAGAATTGGTATTCTTCATAGATATATTTTATATACCTAATTAATCTGGATTTCTATAAATGTGTGTATTTGCTGAAATAAATAAACCCAGAATTGGTCGTCGAACTTGTGGCTGAACAAGGGGATCAGTCAGTATTTGTGCGGGTTGTACTGCAAGAAGTCGTTCGGTAATAACGAGTACAGGGAGTTGATCCAGAGTACGCAGTAAAACGTGGTGAAGTATGAGTAGGAGGAATTGTGCTGGGTAAGTCTCGAAAATTTAGAAGCCTATTTTTTGGATCATGTTGATTGAACACAAAAACTCTAGCTCTAACAGCGTATTGTATTTACAATAATTTCCGATGATACCAGGGGAGCTACTAATCTTCAAAGATACTTCCAGATCTCTAATGATGAATCAGGATAAAAAGACCAACAATTTTTGTATCTCTGACACGTCAGACTTAAATAATAATAGAGACACCGCGATCAATTCATAAATCATTAGGAAGTATACGCCAACAATCATAAACGTCAAACAAGGATTAATGAACGAAATCGCGAATGATGGGGAAAACTGCGAAATCGTTGCCATTGAATAATTGGTATTCTTCATAGATATATTTTGTATACCTATTAAATCGGGATTTCTATAAATGAGTGTATTTGCTTAAATAAATTGATTGTTCGGACTTGTGGTTGAATAAAGGAATCATCCAGTACTTGTGCGGGTTATACTGAAAGAAGTCGTTCGGTAATAACGAGTACAGGAGGTTTATCCCGAGGAGTTTGGAGGAATCGTGCTGGGTAAGTCGCGAAAATTTATAAACATGATCTTTCGATCATATTGTTTACACAGAAAATGTTGCATATTATGTTTATATCAATACATTCGAATGATGCCAGTAAAGCTATACTACATTCCAAATAAGAAAATAGTAGGTGGCGCTGTCTCTGAAGGAATGTTTACATTGACGAAACAAATATATGGCGCCTAATTCAAAGTTCCGGCCATTCTAATGATTGAATTCCACTTCGGCTTTGCGTAAAGAAGACGTCAACCCTACCGTCACATCATGAGTAATAATATAAGCCAGTTGTAATATTGCTTCTGATATTAACCAATCAAAGCGAAGATCAAGGCTTCCCTATGCTGTTTAACGGTATCTTTTTAGTTGGAATGTACTGTAGGGACAAAGTATACTGGGATTGATAGCCACTTGATAATTTTAATAATACTACCATATATTTAATACCTACGTTTATCAATCGGTGATACATATATCAAATTATTATTGACATCAGATGGTGTAATAACTTCCTATTAGATTAGAGGGAGTATACTAACAAATCTCATGATATCGCGTAAATAAACATGGAGACGCATAGGAGAATCTTGCTCAATTTCCATAGTTTCAAAGCACAGGCAACAATACAAATCAACACAAATATGATAAATTCATTGATATTTTATTCTATCTTCTTGGTTATATTATATTATTTATGTATTCATTTGTATACCACTCTCTACTTTTGATACCGAAAACAAATTTAATTCTGGATTCTCTCGAAACTGTTGTAATAGGAACACTACACTGCTTTGCCATCAACCAAACTATTTTTAACGCCCCTACACGTGTTCATCTAAGTATGTCAGCATGTTCAGGAGAAGATCCAAACTAGATATCCCATTCTAGAATTCTGCTTATATACTACAGGTATGTTCACCTAACCCTGAAAGACACGAACTGCACAGTCAATGTCTGTCTAGATTTGGGTCCACATGCTAATCCTAATCCTAGTCCTAAATCACTTAACTATACAGAGGGCTATATCAAATAGGTCCTTTGTCGCCTTTATCCTTATTCAAAGCTGTTTGTCATGATTTGGCATACTTCATCGCTCATGCCATCCATCATTGAATATGAATATCCTGCGCATTGATCTGAAATCCATTTGTTTACACGAGAAGTTAGCCCTGAGGAGGAGGCAGTGGGCCATCATCAGTTATAACCATCTCAATTAACAAATAGACTGAACTATTTTACCTGTACAAAAATAAATATATATTGTCACATTAAAAAAAGCATTATTGTAATCACAATGTATCACGTGATCAATTGTAAGCAATGATGTTTTAGAATACATTTTTTTATAATGGTCATAAAGCCTCTCCTGATAAAAGTTGAAAAATCCATACAAAGAAGTTGGGTTAGGTTAGGTTATATTCAACTAATTTCCACCTTGTTTAATATTTCTCTCAATTTCTATACTATTTTCACCATTTCGTAAGCGCGACAGTTACTGCATACTCATAGAAATGTGGCTGTGGTCGAGCTTGACGAATGAACGAATAAGAGTCTCAGCATCATACTTACATATTTTTAAAAAACTCCCAAAACAGTGTTTGTTTTATTGTTATCGGAATTTTGTTGGTGCCGTATTTGTTTATATGTGATAAGTGCAATTTTCTCTTATTTTTTGTACCAACTATTCGCAGTTCTAATGTTTTTTCATGTTTATTTTCACTTTGGTAATATACTAAAAATACGTCCTTGTATGGAAGACTAAGGTTGCGCATCGTATATTATGCTTCAGTTGTCATTCGGACATCTATATTCGGACACAGAACAATAAGTTTCGTCAATGCGCAGTCGGTCCGCGCTGGTAAAAAATGAAACGTCTTCAACGAAGATCACAGGGGCCAAGTCAACTTACTGTCTTGTTCAGAAAATTAGACAATTTTACGCTGAGCGCTGCTTTGGATATTGGATATCATTATATGGTTTTCCTGTATTGACAACATTTACGATTCTGTCATTTCACAAAATCCCAAAGTGCTGCCACGTTCAGTGTTGTTATGTCAACAAAATGTCAGTTTAGATCAAAACTTGAAATTTCGATCTTTCAATGAAATTCATATAGAATTTCTGCGAAATTGACAAAGGATAAGCAGAAAATCTAGAAAGTGATAAGCGGATGTAAAAATACTTCTGAAAAAAAAACACCATTTTATGAGTATTCAATATTCACAAAAGTAGGGAAAGAACAAAAAGTATCGCGCATCTTTGGGAAGGGTTTGAATGAAATCATGCCGCATGAAGACAAACAAGTTTGAAAAATTCATTTTGGCCTAGGAGAGCATTTAAATTGTGAAGGGTTCGCCAAATTATTCCCCTGGATAATAAAATCTGGAATCTCGAAAGATTGAAAGTCAGACATTTTTTCCGTAATTTTCATGTCATCGCAACGTCAGATGATGACACGAATAGTGTCAGCATGTATAAAAATGATTGAGAATTGAACACAATATCCTTTTTTTTATAGAAGCCGCTACTTCACCTTTCAATTTATTATATTCAGGTTGTTGAAATGTTTATCCACCACGGAACCTTTGCTATATTCATTCCAGAACGAAATGCGCTGTTGGACCATCTTGAGAAAATTATGCATATTCGCGAGGTAGTAACCTGAATATAGTCAATAAAAATCAAATACCTATTTCAATTTTAGAATTTGACGCGTACTGTAATGGTGACATTTTATTTCAAAATTTTTTGCATCACATTTTGTTTAGTGTTTCCCAAGTTCCAGATTGGGCCACAAGAGATAATAAAAGGTCTATTGGGCATACAAATTCCAACCACTGTCATTCCGCAAAACAATATTTCCTAAAAAACAGATTTGACCCACTCTCTTTTTATTCATGAAGAAATATCATCATTATTCATGGAGACCGTATATTCACAAAAAATTTCATCCTTCGATGATTCGAATTCATTATTTTTTCATTCGTTTCCCCCGGCAGATCCAAGCCAACCCCCAGCCCCGCTACCAGTTGGCGGCAACGCGCCGCAACCCAACCAGAAGCACTGCGAGGAGAAGTTCTACTTCCCCACCAGGAACCTGCACACCATGTCGCCGATGTACATCGACACGCTGCTAAAGAAGGCGCTGCTCGTGATGCGGATGCTCGAGCACCGCATCGGCCAAGAGCTGCTCTTGCAGGTACGAATTCGTTTTGGCCAGACATACCCTTATTACTCTATCTAGACTGCTAGTAATCATCGCAGCAACCTGAGAATGTAGATCAGTAGCTCGCCTGAAAACGCTTCTGCTCAACACGCAAGAACCTCCAAGCTGTCGCGGTATCGAAATCCACCTAGTATCCATTTCGTTCATATACGGCGGCAAGGTGGATGGCGTCGTCTTAAGTGTTTTATTTATGTCAGTGGTCGGCTTGATAAAAATATCATATAAAAATTGAGTGGTGTATATTTTACTACACTGTTTTACCACTAACCAAACCGATTTTTCAAACGCCTCAACTCGTGCTTCGCCTGGCCTGGCCTGTTCATAGATGAAGAAACCCAAAGTCATCTCCACAACATTTATTTGACGATCAGAGATCAATCAAATAAAGGGATAGTATACAGGGTGTTTCACAGGTAAAGGGAAATATCTCAATTGTACATAGGGGTCACCAAGGTGGTTCTGAAAACACCATATTTGATAGGTCTTAGAATCTTCATAACGGAGATACAGGGCGATTTATTGATTTCGAATGTTTATTCATTCGTTTATAAGTATCGAATTACCCAGTATATTTTCCTCCAATTTGGTATGGAGCTTATACTTGGGACGTTGAATTTATTCACCTATCGGGTGGAGTGAAAGTCCAGGTTCGGCTTCAGGAAAAATTTACAATTATTCGAAATATTAAAATAACACACTGTATGTAATAATTAACAGAAAGTATCAAAGGAATAGTGAAGAGGAGAAAAAGCGGAATTGGATTTGATGCATTTCATTTTCCCGCCACCAATTCTCATCGTAACAATCATAAACAGAAAGTTGAAAGTATGTCAATTTGAAGAATATGAAAATTATGAAACTAGTTCTGATTATGATTATTTGATATATTTTAGTTAAATGATCCCTTATGAATGATAATTATATTAAGTATCACAGTCTTTATAACGGAGATACAGGGTGAATTATCAGTTTCGAATAATTATTCACATGTCCATAAGTATTGAACTACCCAGTAATATGCTCTTAGAATTTGGTATGGACCTTACTTGGGAAGCTGGATTCATTAACCTATCAGGCGAAATGGAAATACAGGTTCAGCTCCAGGAAAAGTCTCACAGTATTTATAACGGAGATACAGGGTGAATTATCGATATATGATTATTTGATATCTTCTAGTTGAATAATCGCTAGGAGTATCGAATCCAATTCAGTTTCTTCTCCCGTTCACGATTATCCGTTTGATGAACTTTGTTAATTATTTGATACAGTGTGTTTTTTTTTATATAAATACTGTGAGACTTTTCCTGGAGCTGAACCTGTATTTCCATTTCGCCTAATAGGTCAATGAATCCAACTTCCCAAGTAAGGTCCATACCAAATTTGGAAAAATATTACTGGGTAGTTCAATACTTATGGACGAGTAAAGAATTATTCTAAACCGATAATTCACCCTGTATCTCTGTTTTAAAGACAGTGAGACTCAGTAAGTTCTTTCAAATAACCATTTAACTAAAGTATATCAAATAATCATAATTAAAACTGGTTTCATAATTTTAATACTCATCAAATTGACATACTTTTAACTTTCTGTGTATGATTGTTACGAAGCGAATTGGTGGCGGAAAAACAAAAAGTATCAAACCCAATTCAGTTTTTCCTTCTCTTCATGATTCCTTCGATGAACTCTATTAATTATTAAACACAGTGTGTTATTTTAATATTTCGAATAAATGTAAATTTTTCCTGAAGCCGAACCTGGATTTTCGCTCCGCCCGATAGGTGAAGAAATTCAACGTCCCAAGTTCAAGATCCATACCAAACTTGAGGAAAATATACCGGGTAGTTCAATACTAATAGACGAATGAATAATCATTCGAAATCGATAAATCGCCCTGTATCTCCGTTATGAAGACTCTAAGACCTATCAAATATGGTATCTTCAGAACCACCTTGGTGACCCCTATGTACCACTGAAATATTCCCCTTTACCTGTGAAACACCCTGTATATATAATGTTACAACCACGAAACAAATAGCAACACTACGTCAGATTGGGAACACATTCAAGATTGACAAACCAACTTGGCGTCAGTCCGCCGACCTGTAATGTATTTTCTTACTTTGCTCTTCATTTCAGGTCGGCGTACTGACGCCGAGTTGGTTTATAAATCTTGAAAATGTTCCCAATCTGACGTAGTGTTGCTATTTGTTTCCTGGTTGTTACATTATATATATATACTATTCCATGATTTGAGACTTTTGTTCCGTGATCTGGTTGACATGACATATGATGTCTGTCATATATCATTCTGACAACTCAATTTTTCCGGTTTTATTACACGTGATTTGAGTTCATCATTTAACAGGTTGACTTTGATACCCCATCAAACTTTGTTTGATTTTTTAAATGTGAATTTGTCACCTTCGACAATTTAAGGGCACGTGGGCCCTTATAAAATTAATAACCCGACCTACCCATTTCGTGAATAACTAAAACTTCTTAATGTTTTTATAAAAAAAATTATACCTTATAAGTTTTCAATTTATTGTTTCTTACATCATCTGAACCATTGTTTTCCAGATCATGGTGCATACGTCTGTGTCCTGTGCCATTTTTTTGTCAAAATTATCAAAATTTTCAACTTTTTCATTTCCATATAAGTAAGTATTCATTGTATCTATATCCTATGTCATTGTTGGTTTTTCTAGAACTAAAATCTTGTATTCGGCTGATGATGGGCTTATATGATCCCGATACATGTACCTCTATGTGATTGATATCTGATAGTAAAATAAATGTTGTGGAGATGACTTTGGGGTTCTTCATCTATGAACTATACCACTCCACTTTGAGTTACCATGGACTTCTTCCGAAGATTAGACTGGCCGGTAGTAATAGATTATTTGTAACGTTTTTTAACATATTAAATACAAAAAGCTCAAAGTCATTTCCACACAATGTTCATAAAATGAACAACAATGGTAGATTTCGGAAGAGAAACAACTACTTTCTTGGCGAATGCCACGCAGAACATTGAATTACATCCTCCCGAAATCTATGCATTGACTCTGATACAAGTGATTTTTTCCCGAAATCAATAGACATTCGGGCATTATGGCTATTTCGTGGTTGAAATCACGCCAGTCGGGCAACCAGCCACTCCCGTATTGACGCACAATTCAAAAACGCGACAAAATAACTGCTTCTACTCCATGGAGGAATTACTAACAAATCAACTCAAACACTGAATGTTCACTAAACAAATAAACTGTTCCATTGAATTTGTACCATACCATCATTTTCAATCTGTATGTCTACTGAAATGTTTGTATATGTATATGTAATTTTTTTTCCTGTGAAGTTTGACTTGCCATCTGTACCTTTACTTGATATGGCCAATGAATTTAATATACAAGTATTTATACGAATTGCAGGTGTTCAACAAGCAGCTGTCGCTGGCCACCAACGCTGCCCAACAGAAAATCGGCAGCGGCCTGTGGGGCCACATGCTCATCAGCACGAACGTGTTCACGAAGGCGATCTTCACTGTGACCGGCAAAGACATGGCGGTGTTTATAGATCAGTGGGTGCGGACAGGTGGACACGCCAAATTTCATTTGACGTCGGTGTTCAATAGGAAAAGGTTAGTTCTGACTTATTCTTCAATTGTGTGTATTGTACGAAAGCGCTGAACGGACATGATACTTTTTTTTTATAATTGCCAGTTTAAACTGGCAATTAGCTATAATTGCCAGTTTAAACTGGCATTTAGCTATAATTGCCAGTTTGAACTGGCATTTAGCTATAATTGCCAGTTTGATCTGGCAATTAGCCATAATTGCCAGTTTGAACTGGCATTTAGCTATAATTGCCAGTTTTTTTATTTATTTATTTATTGAAAATGTTACTTCCAGTCAGAATCAAGTTCTGGTATAAGGAAGTATAGTTAACAATAATACCTAAAACTATACAATTATAATAAACTGAAGAATAATAAAATATTTGAAAACATTAATTATTAAATTTTGACAAATCATTTCATATTGCTGAGCAAAAATCAATTTGAATATGAATCAAAAGTAAGTCATCTATTTCGTTCAGAAATGATTAATTTTTTAAGATGGTATTTGAATTTTATTGTATTTCTGCAATTTTTTATATTATCTGGTAATTTGTTATATTCCAAGAGAGCAGCGTGGGTGAATCTTTTTTGGGCTATAGAAGTATTAGCGATATCAAGATGAAATAAACCATGTTGTCTAGTTTGATAATTATGAATTTCATTGTTTCGTGTTAAAATAAAATTAGATTTCAATCTTTTATTTATGATATTGTATGTAATTTTCAGTCTTTCGATTTTGAACATCTCTTCTAATGAGAATGATTCAGTTATTTTATATAATTGATTTGTTGGTGTATCATATGGTAAACGATACAGTACTTTCAATGTCTTTTTATATAATGCAGATATTTTATCTAAATTAGCCATAATTGCCAGTTTGAACTGGCATTTAGCTATAATTGCCAGTTCGAACTGGCATTTAGCGCTTCCGTACGAAAGGATCTAGTCATGTTATCGCCATCTAGTGACGCCAAGAAACGCGAACGATTATTTCGACCAACGCAAAGGGCGAGTGGACTGATAATGACTTATTGCCATTCAATTACTCCACTGTGTCGTTAGAGACCTATATTGTCCAACAAGGACAGAATGATAGTGATTTTCCCCTAGAATGAAATTTGCAGCCTGAGCCGTAGGCGAATGATGCTGCAATCATTCGAGTGGGAAATTAGCATTCCTTGCGAGTTATACACCATAATTTCTTTACGGCTGTGACAGATAACAGCGACATTTTTGATTTCTTCGTCTCGTAGCCATCTGATTTCCTCTTGAGTAATGCGCATCTATTAAACAGAGCTCACATTGCATGAACTGTGACATTACATTTGCGGGGTACTTTCGTACGAAAGCACTAAATGCCAGTTAAAACTGGCAATTATGGCTAAATGCCAGTTAAAACTGGCAATTATGGCTAAATGCCAGTTCAAACTGGCAATTATGGCTAAATGCCAGTTCAAACTGGCAATTATGGCTAATAGCCAGTTCAAACTGGCAATTATAACTGAATGCCAGTTTAAACTGGCAATTATGGCTAATTTGCCAGTTCAAACTGGCAGTTATAGCTAAATGCCAGTTTAAACTAGCAATTATGGCTAAATGCCAGTTCAAACTGGCAATTATGGCTAAATGCCAGTTCAAACTGGCAATTATGGCTAATTGCCAGTTCAAACTGGCAATTATGGCTAAATGCCAGTTTGAACTGGCAATTATGACTAATGGCCAGATCGAACTGGCAATTATAGCTAATTGCCAGATCAAACTGGCAATTATAAAAAAAAAAGTATCATGTCCGTTGTAGCCTTTTTTTTTTTTATATTAGATTAGATTTAGTTCAATTTGATAGTGAAGGATTTAAAAAAAAAATAGGCACAATGCCGGTACTCCTGTGATCTTGTGAGCAGTTAATGGGTCGGGGTATTTGAATAATAATATACTAAAATGTAATGATTTCGAATTTCAAGTTTTGGAGGGCGCCACCTAGTTTAAGATTAATAAAAAAATTCGTAAACTAAGAAACCGAATTTATCATTTACTGAACAAGTATCTGAGACTGTTTGTGAGGAAGATAAAAAATCATATTCAGCCACAATTAACATTTATTTTAGTTCAAGTCGGGGTAGAAAACAATGATTTCTATTCACCATTAATGATCGCCGAATAATGTAGATATACCAAATCAAATAACTTCAATGATAATAATTATTATAGCATCTGCACAAACTCAAGTTAGATGTTCCCTTAATGAAGTATATTTTCACACCTACTATAAGTTGGTGGTTGCATCTATATAACTATTTTATAATTTACCAATTATAAATATTCTGCCTATATATGAAGATTTTGGGGCTTCGCACAGTCTGTGTTTGGCTTCACAATGAAGGGCTTCAAAAATATTATATATTAACCATATAGAATTAAAGGAAATTAGATGCAATCATCACCTGATCAATATTTGCTTGAAATTGAAATTTGACCCCTTTACAGTATTTATATAGTGCTTTGCTAAGAATAAACAAAAATAATTATGTAATAAAAATGATCTGGCCTTATGTTTGATGTGTCGTCCTTTTCCTGGTGGGCGATTCTGGGTCTAATGGCTCAATACTCCTGGATGGAATTGGTATGAACGAATAACGATGTTATTCAAAGCGACCTTTCTCGCTTATGTAAATGGTACCAAAAACAGCTCCTGGTACGGCAAATTTTGTACTTGCCGGTTATGATTTCACGAACTGACTGACTGGGGAGTTTTAACTCCTAGTTAGACTCTAAAAGGAGAAAATATCCCTGATTTACCTAATTAGAGATTTCTAAAAGTGAAAAGCTAAATACTAACTAGTAAATTTCGCCGGGTTCTTGATGGTAAAAAAAATTACAACTTACCCCAACTGTTGGGAGCTGAACTAACACAACCGATTGATGGGTTGATTATTTCGACTGATAAGCGTTTCCAAACAAATCCCGTACATATACGGTAGGGAATTAAAAGCCGAAAAAAAAATGAAAAATGGAGAATTCAAGACAAGCTCACTTTTCTCAGTCTTTGCTTGCTGTCCGCACCGATTCTCCTCACCCGATCTTCAAATTTCTGCGCACCTGTCCCCTACTTCTTTATCTCTCCATATCACATCTGTTGGAACTCTACCATGAAAACTAGGCAACCAACATTGTGAAGATAGAATATTTTTCCTGGTCTAGAAACAACGTTGCCACAATTCCCAAAATGTACGATTATCTCCTTATACAAAGAAATTCATCAGGTAGCATTTGAAATGCTACATCGTTCCCCTCCAAAAAGAAGAAATATAATAGGATATTATATTTCATTTGATCAATTATAATATAAACAAAAACTGGCATCTGATTCTCATTATTATGTTTTGGGTCGGTATCTACGCGTACCACACGTCCTATTGGAAACATCATTGGGAAAAAGTCGAATATGGGAAATGTCACAATAAGTATATAGTCTACCAAAACATAAATTCGAACTGATCTCGAGATGAATGGCGGTATTGAAAGAAACACTGAATTGAGTTGAGAAATCGTGTTCACTGGACAACCTTTAAACTCTAGGAAAATTTAAGCAACGTTTCAGGGAATCCGCAGAATCAATCGTGGTTTCGGAATAATAAATTTCGGAAACGAAACGTTTGTGTCTTCGACACTACATCAAAGAAATGTTCGGAATGGCCAGTCCCGATACATCTGACGTATGTATATAAATCTCATAAATGTATTAGTATCCTCAATACCAAAATCATGATATACGTATATACAGATATCCTTATATAATCCTTTAACTTAAGCGACACTTATCGCACTACCTAACTTAAAACTAATTAACGAATATGAAACTAGTGGTATAAACATGCTATGAAAATTGGCATTCCAAATCCTAAATAAAGAGCCTATACAAATGCATATTTAAACTATCTCAACAACACAAATATAATACTCAATTCACCGATATATCAGAATTGGAACCGAAATAGGGCTTAAGGTCTTTTATATGCCATTCTCCAGCGTCTGACCCACTGAGAGTATTCAGAGCATATACCAAGCGCGAGATTCTCTTTCGAATTATACACAAGACGTATTTTGGTGCCAATTTCGAGGAGAATTTGGCCGCGGCATCTGATAAAATTTTATTTTTACGCCAGACCTTATCCCCTTCTTCAAAGATTACATCTCTTCTGCGGAGGTTGTATGCTTTTGCGTTACGAGCGTAAGAGGTATGTAATTTTGTCCGAACTTCATCAAAAACTGTTGAGAGGTTTGATAGTTCCGATGCGTAGTTTTGTCTATCACCTACAGTGACTTCTAAGTTGGAGGTCGACGCTACCTCACCATAAAACTTACCCGATAGGGGAACATGTCTCCCGAAGTTGAGGAAAGCAGGTGAAAACCCCGTGACATCATGTGTAGCGGTATTTATCGCCTGTCTGATCTTGTGTAATTCTTTGTCCCAAGAAGTGTGTTCCTCCACATAACAACGAATAGCAGTTCCCACGGTTTTATTGATCCTCTCAACAAAGTTACATTGGGGGGAATATCGTGGACAAAACCAAATTTTTTGAACTTGATATTCTTGGCACAATTTTTTAAAAATTCTACCTGCGAACTGACTGCCGTTGTCACATAAGACAAATTGAGGGACGCCAAAAACAAGAAATACATCATTCTCCATAAATTTTGCCACATTTTGCGCACTAGCTTTTCTTAGAGGACATAGAAGTGTATATTTGGTTAACCAGTCTCCTACCACGAGTAAATGCGTGTTTCCCTTAGATGACCGTGGAAATGGTCCCATCAGGTCGACAGCAATGATCTGCCAGGGATACTGTACCGATTTCTCTGCGCCCATTAATCCCATAGGGGCATATGGAGGAATTTTTTGTGATCCACAAACCTTACAACGTCGAACGTATCTCAGAACGTCTTTCCTCATTTTCGGCCAATAGTAGTATTCCTGAATACGGGATAATGTTTTCTGAAAACCAAAATGACTGCAGATGGCA